CTTCTCTTAGATTAAGAGGACTGATGCTGTGGGCTCCTCTCTCTCTTTCTCTCTCTCTCTCTGTCTCTCCCCTCTTCTCTTTTTCTTTCTTTCTCTCTCTCTCTCTCTCCTCTTCTCTCTCAGAGTAAGACGACTGATGATCTGATTGCTGCAGATGATGGATGAATTCTCCTCCGATAAAACATCAGACGTTCTTCTCACTCAGTTCAGATCAGGACCATCACACACACACACACACACACACAAACACACACTACAGTCACATGCACCACGGAAACATAAGACAATACATCTATATCACCACGGAAATATAAGATGATACAACCATATCACCACGGCGACTGCTGCTACGAACCACATGGTGTTACAGATGATCTGACTGTCGGAGCGTTCGCACCTCAGCATCAAGGGCGTTGGGTTTACCAGCACAGTCTACGCACGTCCTGAATGTTCAAAGTTCACACCCCGGGCATCAAACAAGTCGGAAACAACATATTTCAAACATCTGCCCCCAAATCCAAAGGTGTTCCAATGCGAGGCGCCTCATGTGTTTTTGATGTTGTTTTGTGAACACAGCTTGAATGCGAAAAGACTCTTAAGGTGAAACAGCACACGTTCACACGGACAAGTGAAACGATCACTGAAACTTAGATGCACTGTGTAACTTTAGAGGTGGAGAGTACACCTGCTTGTCTTCAGGGAGCCTTAATGTTCCAGAGTATGGAATTAAACGTATCCATCTTGCATTGATTGATTTTCAGGGGTTTTAATTGCTCAAACGAACCATGAAAACAGACACTTTCACCCTTGGGCGGCGGATGAATAATTGAAAGCACCAAGAGGAGCTCAGAGTTTACGGTGTGGTCCGGGGGAAGCCGATGGAGGTGCCGCATTGGGAGTCTCTTCTGGACACACACCCAAACTCACCTCAAACCTTTCCTTTATAAATAAAAAGTTATCGCATGAACACGTGGTGCAGTGCTGCAGCTTCAAAGGCGCTGATACAACAGCCCAGCACAGCTCAGTCACAGCACAACAAAAGCTCTCAGACCCTGGAGTTACAGCCGGATTGAGTGCAGTCTGAGTGAGGAGCCTGTCCACCTGTAACCTGACCTGGTAACATCACCTGCTTGCTAATGCCATACTCTGGAACATTCTAAGGCATGTCGTTCCTCCACAGGGACTAGACATTGGAACCTCCACCACATAAGCTGCACATTCATTTTGCTATTTGGACCAGTTAAATCATGTCATATATCAATATTATAAGTTCCCTGCAGCCATGAATGTAATTCACAGTTTAAAAGCAATTAGTTAAAACTACTCAAAACCCATCCCGTGTACTTACATCTGTATACAGTGTTTGTGGTTTTCAGATTCAAGAATGCAAAGCTGTCATACTGAGATTTCTCTGTTCTGGACAAACACCCAAACTTTGTTGTACATGCAATAACTCTGAAACAATCATACATGTTTTTGTAACAAATAGACTGGACTACTGTAATGCACTATATTCAGGCCTCCCACAATCCTCCACCAATAGGTTACAGTTAGTCCAAAATGCTGCTGCCAGACTGCTCACCGGTTCCAAAAAGAGAGACCATATTACACCCATCCCAGCCCAACTCCACTGGTCACCTGTTAAATACAGAATTGATTTTAAAATGTTATTATTTGTTTTTAAATCACTTAACTCACTCGCGCCACAGTACATCTTTTAACCCCCCACACAGCCTCCCGCTCTCTCAGGTCAAACTCGCTCAACCTCCTGTCGGTCCCTCAAAACCAGGGGAGGCCGAGCCTTCTTTGTTGTTGCCCCCAAGCTTTGGAATTCCCTCCCTCTTCCCCTGAGATCCTGCTCCTCCCTATCTCACTTTAAAACCCTCCTAAAAACACATTTTTTCAAGATGGCATTTAACAGCCCATGAGCTTTATTTTAAACTATTATTTAAGTAACTTGTTTATGTAATATTTTATATATTTTATATTTGTGTTAGTGTTTCACTATGTTGTGTTTCATGCTGTAAAGCACTTTGGTGCAACTTGTTATGGTTGTTTTAAATGTGCTATATAAATAAAATGACTTGACTTGACTTGACTACTTTGCTGTGAAATATCCTAAAAGTAAATTCAGAAATGTTTAACCTAAATATTTCTATTAGTGACTAGATCAGGGATGAGCAATTCTTTTTGTTCCATGGGGCCACGTGAGACAGAAAATATTGTGGAGGGCTGGTCCAAACTGCTCAACTCAATTCTGCATAAAATTAAGTTATTAGTTTCTTTTTTCAGACTAAGAGTTTTATGTTATTAGGTTCTTTTAACAGACCAACAGACCTGACAGTTTCGACTTCTCACTAGCGCTCTTCCTCATGTTGTCCGTGACTTAAGCATAACAGTCCAATGAGGTATGGTAGGTATGAAAACAAACAGTTGGTCTGTAGAAAGAACCTAATAACATAAAATATCAGAAGACCAAATGAATCTCAATGGACTGAGACTAAGTGTTTGTTTTCCTTCCTGACAGTTTGGACTGCTCACTAGTGGTCTTCCTCAGAGTGGCCACATGACCGGTCAGCTAACCAAAATAAATAAATCAGCTGATCGGACATGTCACAGAAACATCACGTGACTCTGAGGAAGAGCACTAGTGAGCAGTCGAAACTGTCAAGTATGAAAACAAACTCTTGGTCTGTAAAAAGAACCTAATAACATAAAACTCTTAGTCTGAAAAAAAAAAAACCCTAATAACATAAGTTATTAGAAGACCAAATGAACCTCACTGGACAATTCTGCTTATTATTAATTGTATTTCTTATTTCTTATTATTATTATTATTATTATTATTTCTATAAAAAAAAAAAAAAAACGAACAAAAACTGTCAAAACACCTTTAAAATAAAAGCAATGCAGTTTTAGTCCACGCATGAGGTAAAATTATAAAATGTTTATTTTGTAATTCCAAATGAGCTTCAATGGGCCGGTCAGAGTCAACCAAAGAGCCGTATGTGGCCTGGGAACCGTACAATGCCCATGTCTGAACTGGACCCAAGAACTTCCTATATTACACAACATATACAACATTACACATCTTATCTTACATTCGTACAATGTGATGTATCATTAGTATTATTATGTTTTATTGTTGCTGCCAAATGTATTTCCTTCGAGATCAATTATGTATTTACTATCTGTCCATCCATCCATCTAGCTATGTATCTTAGTTGCCCCACATCTGTATAAAACATGATTAACCCATATAATAATGTGATCTGAAACCAACTAATTGCGAGTGGGTTTTCTGAAGAGAAAACAGGAGGCGTCCCAAAGGCCTTAACCGACCTGGTCTTTATTAAAGAGTAACAATGATAATACATATGTTTATTTTAATGGTTCCTTTAAAATCCCTCTAATTAAACCACATAAACCAGCACACAGTTCCCACCACCATCAAGGTCAGAAAACCATGGAAGACAAGTTGAGTTTAAAATAGGTCAGAACTCCCTTAAATCAAATGGTAAAAATAGATATATTATATGTTATAATTAGTTTAGAGAGGCTACAGTATATTGTCTCCCACATCGTTCACATAACATTAAAAATCCTTAACAATCCATAGGTTAAATTCTTATTATAATAAATACTTTTCACAGCACCGCCCAGTCCAGAGTCCCGGTTCCTTCAGGTTTATTGCACGGAGGATCGAGAGAAGCGGCTCTCAAATACACTGTTGGTTTCGTTTTTGCATGAAACAAAGGCTCCAGTCTGCGAGGCTGGTAGAGGTCCAGGAATCCCAGGTTCAGACCACACGGCACCCCAAAAACCAGGTCCCCACGCTAAGGTCAGCAGGGGGCGCTACATTATACACATTTATTCCCACTATTTTTTGCAAATAGTTTCGTAAAAGGACTCAAAATGGTAGAGTAAATGTATGTATTTAGTTGCAAAGTTTTCTAATAAAAGATCTTTTATTTTTGTAAAAAGACTACACTTTAGAGATTTATGAGTATACGTACTTTTTTTTGCAAGTATTCTAATAAAACAATGCACAATTGTTGAGTAAAAGTTATCAAATAATTTTGGAGTAAGTTTATTTTGCAAAAAGTAGTATTCAGTGCACCCCAAATACCAGGTCCAAACCCAGGGTCAACAGGGGGCGCTATGTTATAGATAATTATGAGGGAGTATGTCTGCATGTTATTTCATGTAATCTATATTTTGTAAGTATTTTAGTAAAAGGGATGTGAAAATATAGAGTAAATATATTTTTTTCTTTTCAAAGGGATTTTGGAGTACATGTATTTTTTGCAAAAAGTACGATTCTGCGTATTTGTCTATCCTATAATTGATGATAGCTTATATAAATATACAGATATATATGCACTAGTGTGCGTTCAAGTGAGTGATGACTTAATGACATAAACACAGTGGTTTATATTTGAGAGGGATGTGAGGGAAAAGGGATTGTGGGTAATATCTTACGCTTCAGTTATGCTGTGGTTGATCACACAGTCTGTCAGAGCGGGATCCTCTGCAAATGTTTAAAATTGGTTTTGTTGTGTTTGAGTAGTTTATTGTGTTATTTCAGATTATTTCACTGTGACATGCTGTTTAAAAAAAAAAAAAAAAAAAAAGATAAATACAATGTCAGAAATTTAAATTACTTTCTAAATCCCATGAGGTGTCCCAACCCTCAATCACTAATCTAGAGCCCTGTTTGAGTTTGGCTTATTAGTAAGTGATGTCAGAGTACAGCACAGCTTCACAAAATCAGCCCTTTTTGTAATGTGCCTTGTAAATACTTATTTTTCTTAGTACTGGTAGGCTGGTAGACTTTAGAAACCACCACTCTACCAGAAGTCATTTGTCCTTAATAATGTGGGTTCTCAGAAGATCATGGGGATGGGGGCTCTACAAGTACATTGCCTAATGGAGTTTCCCCTCAATCTGACCCGAGGACCCGTGGTGTTGGTGCGTTCTGAACCGGACATGCTCAGGCCTCAGACCTCAGACTCCAGGCTGGACACCCTGCTCCAGGGCTTTGGCACATAGGGACTGTTCACTCTGCGCGCCACCAGCACCGGCCTCCTCCCTCCGGGCTCCTCCCTCTGCCCCGCCCCCCCCTCAAACGCTCCGTACAGGCTGTTGTGCTGGTACAACACGGGCTGGTTGCTCACGCGCTGCAGAACGGGCGTGTTACTTCCTGGACAGTGGCTTGCGCACGGAAACAAGTGACACGTGTCCTTGGCGCCATCGTAAAAGTGATTCGGCGCCACATAAACCGGGTAGTCCGTGTACGAGTTTAGGTAGGAGGAGTAGCGTCTGTGCATCACCGAGGAGGATGAGCGTCTCAGAGCAGCCGCGTTTTGCAGAATCGCCTCCCTGTACGAAGGCAGCTGAGCGCAATCGGCGTATTTCAGCTTTTGCTTGTACGGGAAGGACCCCATATGGGCGGGGTCTAGGTACGCTGGTTCTGCCGACAAAGGGTAGCACGACAGGTTGTTTCCTAGACTCCCGTAAAGTTTTCCTGGTTGGGGGTTTGCTACGACAACTCTAGGGAACAAATCTGGAATGTCCGCCCTGGTTGGTGGCAAAGTTGAAGAGGTTGAAGGTTTTGTTTCGTCCACTTGCCGAATCCGGTCATTTCCCCAAGTTGCTTTCAAAAATGAGGCTCTCCGGTTGAGTTTGTCCTTCCCTAACAAAGGTATGTCATCCATGTCGGTGTCAACGTACGATTTCATGCAAGAGTTACAGCTGGGGCTCATCCCTGCGTAGTGTCCCGCCGAAGTGGAGCAAGGTATCGTGGGATTCGCGTGGTTGGCGTGGTTGCTCAGAAGAAGGTTGTTGGCGCGGAGTTCGGCTAAGCAAGACCTCGGCTCATCGTAATCATTCCTCGACCTCGCATCCAGCGCGTTGAAGACGTAATTATGCGCCCGTCTCTGCCTGCAGTCCGGGGGGTAGCTGAACTTGCGTCGAAACGGGCCCTTATGCTCTACGTAGATGTCCGGCACTTGCATCTCTCTGTACGGGACAAAAGTTTGGTGGCGTTGTGGTTGGTTGTCCATGTAAAGCCTGTTTCGGTGATTCATCGTTGGGGTAACCGTCGGGCTAGTGTCCCTCATCGCTAAGTGTGGCGTGCTGAGACTGGAGATTGGCAAAGTCCTTTCTAGAAGATGGTGGCTGGGTCTTGCAGGTAGCGTGTATCTCAGCGGGGTCGGCCTGGTGACCACTCGCGATTTGTCTAAAAGAGGTTGAGTAGCGGAATCGGTGTAATGAATGGGAAAAGTGGGAGTCAATGCCCTTTGCGGATACGGCGAGTGGTTGTCCGTGATGCTGGAGATGTACGGCAGCCTGTTGTGGGTGAGGTCTGTGGTGGAGACTCGAGGTGGCAGTCTGACGTTATCAGCTCCGCGTCTGCTCCAGTTTTCGATGGTTTTGGTGGCGTTGTCCAAAGAGTTCTCCACGCGGGCAGAGGAAACCATGTCTTTGGCGGTCCGTAGCATCTTGAGCATGTTTGCCTGAGTGTAGTTGGAGGTGACATCGGGGCTCTGCATGTCTCTGTTGCTCTTGTCCGAATGTTCCACTCCATTGAAGCAGCTGTAGATGCCCTGCAGAAACACAGAAAAAAATGTGTTAAAACAGATAATTTAATATATTTTGGGCACTTCTTTACCGTTTATATCTTAAGCGGTTTTAGGCAATGTATCATGTTTAAATCGCCCATATTACACTATTTTCTGATCTCTGTTCTAATGTTGTTTCCTCACCACAAACAGACCTGGAGTTGTGTTTTGTTTCATTCACATGTTTAACACACTAACCCTGCAGATTTAGGTTCTTCTATCAAATTGAAAACATTCTGTTTCATCTTTAAGAGAATAATATGGATAATTTCAGCCTGGGAATTGCCAATCGCATTCAAATAGTAAAAGGTAGCCATTAACTTCAAAACTACCGCTTCATGACATCACAAGGTGGAACACAGTGTTTTGTGCTTTGGACATGTCAACAGACTAATAGTCGGGGAGTCAAAGTCTCAAAAGATCAATAAAATCGATTGAACCTGACATGGTCTGCCATAACTTTAACTTCTTAGGTTCTTTTTAAAGACAATGCAGTAAAGTGTATTTACCTTGGTCTGCCATACTTTTTATTTGTGGGGTTTTTTGTTTGGTTTTTTTTTTTGGTTAACTTTGACCCTAAGGACCAATAATTAGAGGGTTTGCTCTTCTGGAAATATTGCGGGAAAAACATTGTGGACATTTTAGTGTAAGTACCCTTTATTTTTTGAAAGAAAATTTTGAAAAATAGAAAATTTCCTGAAATCCTCAGTGGGTTGGGTAGCTGTCAATAAATGCATTCCAGATGCATGTGGTGACAACATTCAGTGAAAAAAATCATTCTTAAAACACATTTCTACATGATTTTGGCTTAATTCAATGCAATAATTTTTTCACTGAATATTTCACATATTTCACCGCATTCAGACATGTTTTTCATTTTTCAAAATTTTCTATCCAAAAATGAAGGTTACATACACTAAAACTGTGGCCGTTTTAGTGTATGTAACCTTCATTTTTGGATAGAAAATTTTGAAAAAATGAAAAAATATATTTTTTATATATAAAAAAAAAAATATATATATATATATATATATATATATATATATATATATATATATATATATATATATATATATATATATATATATATATTTTTTTTTTTTTTTTTTTTTTTTTTTTTTTTGAGATATTTCCAGAAGAGCAGACCCTCCAATTATTGGTCCTTAGGGTTCAAAGTTAACAAAAAAATAATAATAATAAAAAGTGTGGCAGGCCATGTCAGGTTCAACCTATTTTTGAGGCTCACCGACTATAATAATGCAGGATTACTCAAGCAGGTAGAAATGAAATAAAACACAACTCCAGGTATTTTTTTGAGAAGGTAATTATAACATGGTTTAAAGCTCACAAGAGTCTGTTTTGTGTAATATAGGATCTTTAATTGTGCTTGAATCAGCATCTTGAAATACAACTTGTAAAAAAAAAATACTATAAAATACCAAGTAATAGCCAGTTTTAAATTAATCCCCTTTAAATATCGGGTGCAGGTGTATATTTTGATAAATAACCACTGGTTCCAAATAAACGGCGAGTCTGTATAGAAAGTGTCCCATGCCGACACCCCCAGCAGGGGGTGCTGCTGCTGAGGAGCTGTTCAAACTCCCATTTCCCGTTTTTTGTGCTTTATTTAACCAAGATATAATGATTAGTGCAGTGACACAACAGAGAGCATGACGTTTACAGCTGACACAGGAGCAGTATGACTTCAGTTCAGTTCAGCCTTTACCAGGCTGGTTATGTGACTCAAAATGAATAGGCTAAATTCTCTGTGCTGCGTCCAACCAGCCTCACCTTCACTGAAAATGTGGTGGAACAGACGACGTTGCTGTGAAATTATTATTTCGAAGTGACGTAAAAAAGAAAAATGGCGCAACATAGTGGGCAGGAAATGGAAGCAGTTTTTAGGAGTTTTGGTAATATTACTCTATTCACAGGAAGCAGCAATGTCATCGTAGCTGCTGTGACATAAGACGAAAGTTGTGGCAAAGGGGGAAGGAAAGGCAAGGGAAGAGGTGGCAGGAATCATGCCCACGGCAAGTGGGCAAAGTAGTCACCAGGCCATCGTATAACAGCGACACCTCCTCCAAGGCGTGCTATAAAAACTGTTAATTATAGTCATACTGAATTTGAATACCATATTTTGCCAGTTTTGCTGAGCAGGATTTTTGTGAGGAAGGAATTAATTGCTTGCCACAAATTGCTGCCTGGTCTCAAATAAAAGCCTGGTCTGTTAAGTGATTGAAACAAATAAACACACTGGCTATTATTTGGTATTTTATGGTAAGGAGTAGTAGCTGTAGTATTATGTGTAATAGTAGCAAAAAGCATAGTGGTAGTATTAGTACTTGTAGCAGTCCAAGTTTTTAGGTATTTGAGAAAAAGCTGGTCATATCTGGCAACATTTGCTATAACATTCTTCATTACCACCACAATCAACCGTCCAAACATGCTATAAGTAATGTAACAATCAGACTATATTTTTTGCTATTTGTCCTACTAATTAAAATTCCACTCAGAGACATCGGGAAACTAACCCACAACCTCTTCACTGAGGGGAGGATACGGGCGCACTCTGCCACAGTAACACAGCGTGCTCCAAACAGAGAGATCTGTAGTCTAAACCAAACCTCAGAGAGGTAATGGACAAACAAATTGCTTACAATGCAAACCACATAATGAAATATATTCACTTCATTTTGCCTTTTAACGTCTTCTGCTTTGACAAAGTGTTTGGATATGAGATCAAATCAAATTCACACACTTTTGAATAGCATCTATATTCAAATGAGGGCACCCACTGGAACATCGTTAAGACGGAGGCAGAGGCAGTGCTTTTAACATTCTGGTCGTTAGCGCGTTGGGAATAGTGTTTATTTTGTTTGACCAAATGAAATTGTCTTTTTCTTCCAGAGCAGATCTTTGAGCAAGATGCCCTTCCTGTAGCAACCGGCTGTATCACTGCGAATGGAGCTGGCATTGAGGGAGATGCTCATCAACTCAGAGGTCAATAGTTCAATCCCAGCTCTGACCAATGAAGTTCTAGGGCAAGACACTTTCCCACCTTGCTCTTGTATGAATGTGGTTGAGTACAGTGTTTCCCAAAGACTGGGTCATGACCCTCAGATGGGTTGCAGGAGATTTTTTTGTGGTCGCCTTGTCACAATCTGCATGTAGAACAGCAATATACAGTTCTGACACGAGATTTTCTGTGCTCACAAAAATGAAAACAAAGCACAGAAACAGACTGAATGCTGCTCCTGATCTGCTGCTGCTGCGTCTCCTCCTGCACCTGGACTGGAACAGCTACAAAAACACAAACAGGCCCACTTACCTCAGTAGAAATGTTGAAATGTTAAGACATATAATGTTTTATATCCTTTCTAATATTTTTAATATAATCATTAGTAATTATTTTATTGACTATTTTGTTCCAATGTTGCTGGTTCAATTGAATGTTGAAAATGAAAAGAAACAGGCTACGTTTAATGTCCAAATAGGCGACTTATAGATCCTTTTATAGCTGCTTCAATTACTGTTTTTCATTGTTTAAAATTTGAGTATTGCTAATTGTTTCGAAAGACATGATCACTCAGTCAACAGTAAAATATCCTGTTCATTAATATTCAAATCCACCTTTATTTTGTGATTTATGAATCATGTCTATTGAGTCTATTGGGTCACGAAGGTTTGTGACTTAAAATAAAAGTTTGGGAAACATTGTTTTTTTAGAGATTGGCAGATATTGGAAGGGCTGATGGCACAGATTGGCAGACACTTTCTCGTCAAATTCCTCAGGGGCAGCTCTGGCTAAAGAAACAGCTTACACCACAAACTATGAAAAATAAATGTTGTCTCTCTGTAATCCTTTACTCATCCAGGAGTGATTCATGGTAACAACAATTTCAAGTGATCATTGTTCAGATAACTGTTTTTTAAAGGGCTCATATTACCTTATTTTTTGGACTATAAGTCGCACTTTTTTTCATGGTTTGTGTGGTCCTGCAATTTATACTATTATATATTAAAATTTTCACACTAACAGCCACGAGAGGAGGCTCTAGTCTTGTGTACCAGTATCTGCTGCTCCTATTACTCCTGTACCACTGTCACTTCACTCTACTGTGCATGTCTCCTGTCTGTATCATGTCAGTTGATCGGATCTTTACTTCTGTACCACTGCACAATTTAACATTTAAGTGACTTCAGTGACATTTGACACCGTCCTGTCGAGATTCAGAAAGGCTTGAATAATTCTAACTGGAACTGACGCTGAGTCTAACGACAGCTACACAAGAAGAAGTGACGCTCCTTTTACCTCCAGAGGTTACAAAGTTCATTTGGTTTAGTGATTTGGAGTGAGATAGAGAGTTTGGTAAACTTGTTCTGTTCTGTTGTTTATGTTATATTTATCTGAGGAATTGTTCACATGTGATGTTAACAGTCTGTTGTTCTCTCTTCTATTGTTATTACTAGAACTTGACTTTTAAGATTCCTGGTCTCGCATTTTATCAAATAAATTATCTCCCAAAAGTGCGACTTATAGTCCAGTGTGACTTTATGTTTTTTTCTTGTTCATTATGCTTTTTTTTTTTGGCAGGTGTGACATTTACTCTGAAGCAACTTATAGTCCCAAAAATACAGTAAGTTATTTTTGGGATATACTGTATATTATAATGTCCTTTCATCACAAACATACTCAGAGTTGTGTTTTGTTTCATACACACATGTTTAACGCATAAATCCTCCATATTCAGAATGAGTTCTTCTCTAAAACGGAAAACATTCTTGTGACGTCACGTGTCCTGGAATTTCCAATCTCAACTAAACAAAAGGTAAAAAATTGCTGTTATCTTGAAAACTACCGCTTCATGAAGTCACAAGGTGGAACAAGGTTTTCTTAACTTTGGAGATGTGGACAGACTAATAACAAAGGATTACTCAAACATGTGTGAATGAAACAAAACACATAATTCCAGGTGTTACCA